GGGGGGGGGGGCTGGGAGGAGAGTTAAAAATAGCAGGAAGGTCTAAGTGGAAAGTTTCTGTAACATCACAAGTCAGGCATTTGGTGCTTACCCGCCCTGACAGGCGGGAGCCCGTGCCAGAGCCTTCTCCACCATCCCTCAGCCCTTTCCCACTGACCTCCCTGCAACTTTTCACACGACTTCACCAGCCCTTCCTTTTTTCTATTTAACCCTTTCGTTCCAGTCGCTGGATTTTCTTCCTGAAAAAAAAAACAACAAAAGGAGACACAAGCTGGGCTCAGCCTGGCACCCAGGGCTCTTGCTGGCCTCCTTGTGTCCCTGCGTGGAGCTGGAGGAGCTGTGACCCCCTGAGGATCCATTCCCCCTTGTTGAAAATCCTCTTGCTTCCAGGATTTCAGCTGCAGCTTCCAGCCTTGCACTGGGACACTTGGGATGCACAGTTTGTCCTGGACTGTGACGAAGATGGATGAGTACAGCTCTGAGCAAGCCCAGCTCACTCTGCTTGTCCTCTCCCTGTGAGAAAGCAGATGTACCTGCTCCTCCAACAGTTCTTCACCACTTCTGTTTGTCTTTCAGGACCAGCAGTGAGGGGTGGATAATGTCATCCCTTCTCGGAGCCCTGAGGGTTACATCTGGCTCTGCCACTGTGGGAAGGCTGAGCCTGCCTGGCAGAGGGCTCAGTGACAAGGATGGTGTCTGAACACCTCTCCCCTGGCCACCCAGGGGCTTCTCCTCCTCCTCACACCCAACATGCCAGGCTTAAACCTTCTCTTGCCTTCCCCCCTGCTGACTCTGCTCTCTCTCAGGTGCACACCAGACACCGAGGTGATCCTCACCATCCCCACCGAGGAGAAGCAGCTCAACTGATACTCGGCCAGGCTTGGATGAGGTGCTGAGCCACAGATCCCCCTTTCCCCATCAGTGTTTCTCCATCCCAGCCGTGCTCAGCCACCCTGGGGCCTCAGTGCTGTGGTGAGATGATGCAGTAAAGGTGTCACTGTCATCCTGGCCTGTGCCATCCCTGTCCCTGTTGTGGTAACACTGGAGGTGTTGAAGGGGCCTCCCTGTGACTGTGAAGGGTGTCCCAGGCTTGGCCCTGCTGCTGTGAAGCTCTGCCAGTGCATCCCAGTGTGGTCAGACTGGTGTCCCAGTGCAGGGTCAGACTGGTGCCACTGCAGGGACGATGCTTGGGCAGTTTGGTGCCAGTGCTGGGCCACCCAACAGCATCAAATACAACCAGCTCCCATTCTTGACGGTGCCAAGCAAACACCCAGCTGTGCTCCCCTCCCTGGGTCCCGGCAGCAGCGCTGCGGGGTCGGGCAAGCAGAGCTGCGAGGTCCCGGCAAAGACCAGCGGCAGCAGCACCGGGCACCGGGCAGGACCAGCCCGGGCTCGGCTCGGCTCGCTCCTTCCTTGGTGAAGCA